GGTAGGAGACTCTTACCCACACATCCAGCTTGGGCCCAAAATGGTAAATTGTTTCTGCTGATGATTGCTTGTTGTGGTTCAGGTAGGAGGGGAAACAAACTATCTTACCCATGTTCTTGGAGCTCCATGATGGGAGAAAGAGGTCTGGCACCAGAGGACAGATTTCAGAGAGAGGTCAAATTTTTACCTAAAACAATATAAATACAGAGGGGATGATGGAAAAATTCATGTCTGACCTCTGGTCTAGAAAGTCCCCTTTAAAGTTAGCTTCCAAAAAGCAGTCTTAAGTATGAAAAAGGAAGAATCCGGTTAAAAATAGCAGCAAGGTTAAAGTCCTTTAAGCAGGAAATATGTTACTTTTCTTCCTTTGTTCATTTTTATACAAACAGTCTTTGCCTCAGGTCATTGGGACCTAAGGAAAAGGCCCAAATAATGGCTCTGGAGTTGAGATATGACTATATATGTCTCAGGATCTGTTATGTAGAGAAGTAGGTTGCTCATTTCTCTACAGTACCTTCTTTCCCCAGATATATCAATAATCCAAATATCTGTGATGCTGTAGTTGGGAAGACTCCTTACACTGAAATAAATTCCAATCCTACAGTCTTTGAAAGATGCTATGGCTAAAACATTTATTAAATGTAGCCAGACTGGTATTGAGCCTCTCAGATATTAGCTTAGTCTAGTCCTCGGAAAACAGGCGTAGAACCCACCTGGCCAGACTTAAAGCTTTTCTAGTCCTACCATAATTTGTGCTTCATTGGCATAACTTTCCAGAATCTAGTGTCACCTCCAAGCCCAGATGAGCCCCACTCTCTGTCTCTGACTAGAAAGGGACTCCAGCTCCTGCCTTGGAACCCCTGCATTCTTGATTGGGAAGAGTTCTCCATATCTAGCTGAGGCCAGATACTGTACCCTGCTCTCCAGCCATCTTTGTGCCATGCCTCTATCCTCTCCCTTTCTCCCTATATCTCCAAGAACAGTCATCACATTAGCACTACCATTTCTGGAAATGATGTGTCATTAATTGCCTAATGGCTCCACTCACCATACTTAAGACTCCTTGGACCAAAACACCCTTCTCTGGCCACCATTTTCCTGTATGTGTGTGTATTTTATCCTGATAGGTTGTAAGCTCCTTGAGGGTAGGCACTGTTTCCCTTTTTTTTTATATCCCCCAAAGTACCCTTAGCACAGTAAATGGTTAATAAGCCTCTTTTAACTGTGAGAATGTCATGAATGTTTATGACAATATTTATGCAGGAGTTTAAGGTTTACAAAGACCTTTCCCAAGACAATCCTATGACATTATAATTATTATTATAATCATAACTCTAAATAATTATTATTATCATAACTCTAAAGATGAAGAAACTGAGGCACTAAAAGATTAAGTAATTTGCTTAGCTAGNTCTTTCCCAAGACAATCCTATGACATTATAATTATTATTATAATCATAACTCTAAAGATGAAGAAACTGAGGCACTAAAAGATTAAGTAATTTGCTTAGCTAGTAAGGGTCAAAACAAGGTCTCCTGATTCCAAATCCAGCATTCTTTCTAGCATACTGTGCGTCACCATATGCCTTTTCACCAAGAATGTTCCACCAAAAGAGAAGACAAAGTGATTGCAATTTATTATATCTTATTTACTGTCCGTCCCCAAGGAAAGCAAACTGAGTGTTAGAGAAAAGGGCAGATGCCGGCAGATGGATTAATGGACTTAGTGAAGCTTCTTGCAAGATCATTGTCCTTTCCCCTTCTTGGACGGAAAAAACGTAGGGTAGGGTCTAGCCCCACTATTTGCCAGTCAGTGCAGTGGGATACATTAATATGTTTCAAAGCCTAGGTTTTCTTCACCAATTTGTGACCAAGAAAGTAGAAGGAAGAAAGGTGTAACCTTGGTTGAGGGAGGAGAAAACAACAACTGGAATAGGTCTGCTTGTATACTTGCTGAAGAATGGGAAAGGTAGGTGGAAAGATACTGGGTCTTTTAGGAGCTTATGAATGGGATGGAAAATATCCTCGTAATGCATCTTGGCAAGTTTATGTAGAGTAATGGATTTAGAATCAGGAAGAATTGCATATATAACAATAACAATAACTACATATATATAGGTGTGTATGATTTTATATATATATATATATGTATATGTGTATATATATACCATAACACTAAAACTGTATATAAACTATATGTATTACTATATATGTTAAGTATATATAATGCACTCACAAACACCTCTATAATGATAACTATATATACTATAACTATACATAATAACTGTATATACACATATAAAGCTGTAAACATACATTTGCCTCTATAACATAACTCTCTTTCCATAGCTATGTGACTACAGGCAAATCCCTTAACTTTTCTGAATTTCAGTTCTCTCATCTGAAAAATGGGGATAATCATACCTGTAGTACCTACTTTCACATGGTTGTTGGAAGGCTTAAATGAGCCGATGTATATAAAGTGCTTTACACACTTTAATAATAATAATAATAGCATTTATATAGTGTTGCAAGGTTTACAAGGGGCTTTACAAATAGCATCTCAGTCGATCCTCACAACAATCCTGGGAAGTAGATAACTATTATTATCCCCATTTTAAAAAATAGTTAATTTATTTATAGTTTTCAACATTCACTTCCATAAACTTTTGAGTTTTAAATTTTCTCCCCCTCCCTTTCCTCCTCCCTCCCTAAGATAGCATGCAATATTAGCTCCACTTTAAAGTTGAGGAAACAAAGGCAGGCGGAGATTCAGTGACCTGCCCCGAGGTTACACTAAGCTAGCAAGTGTTTGGGGCTAGATTTCAACTCAGATTTTCCTGACTTGCAGGTCCAGCGCTCTATCCAGTTGGACCATCCACCTGCCATTAAGGCACCATACAAATACCAACAATTATCGTTATTATTACAATACTTTGTGGGCCACAAAAATCTTCCTTCACAACAACTCTGTGAGAATATAAGAGTCGAGAGGCTGCCGGTCCTAGCTGCTACTCACAAATGACACCCCTGTTTGGGGGTCTGGTGAGATACGGGTTAACCAAGGCTAATAAACGAGGGCTGGGAGGCTGCATCTAAGAGTTTATAGTGAGACAGAGCTCAGGCTCCTGACAGCCCAGCTGGCCTGGGCCTCCCCAGGTTACCTCGATAAATTCTCACACAAAAGGAGAAATTTACTTCCGGTCCACTCAGTTTGGATAGTGCAAACTTTATAGCATAGCTAAGTGTGAACCCAGCCTTTGAACTGTCTTGTTTATATTTTCCTGGAACAATGTAGGTCTGGGCTGGTGGTCATGAAATAAAATCAGTCTCCCGAACAGCCCTGTGACCTCCCCACCAGCAAAAGACCTATTTTTAGACTTTGCCCTTTGGCATTAGGCCTCATCTGCTAGCAGTCATAAAGGATTTCGGGATGTGTAACTAGCTAGTAGTTATAATATGTAGGGTCTCCAAACCCTACCCAGCCTCCAATTTCCTGCCCTCTTGTTTTTATCAGTCCTCCTCCCTACCTTCTCTTTTTCCTTCACTTATGATTTTTCTGCCCTTTTCATTTAATGTTAGCACTATGGAGATAACTTTGGCTTCATTGTCTAACGAGACCTCAGATAGAAGATCTTGGTGCCAATGAGGAAAGTGTGAAATGGTAGCTCCAACAGTCAAATATCCATTTAGTTCTTCTATATGTCTTTAGGTCTGGGTGAGGGAAAGAAGGAGCTCAATATCCACAGAAAAACTTGACAATCCAGTAAATGTATTGAATTACAGTGATATCACCAAAACATTTTCACTAATTCCTCCTAAGGACTCAACATCTCACACGATGCAAAAAGCACTGGGTTTCGAATCAGAAGGACTTGGATTCCAGTCCCAATTTTGAGAGCGCAAGAGTCAGAGTTAGGAAAACCTAAATTTGAATATTGCTCAGACACTAGCTATGTGACCCTGGGCTAGTCACTTACCCTCTGTCCACCTCAGTTCCCTCATCTCTAAAATGAGGGGGTTGAATTAGATGAGCTTCCTTCCTGGAACCACCCTGGGCTCTGATTGGCAAGCTTTATCTTACCCAGATCCAGGACTCCATCTCACTTCCCAGCCATCTGGCCCCCACGCTGCCATGAGTATACCCTTCCTTTCCAGTTTTCCTTTTATGTATTATCTACCCTTCCAACTCCCTTCCCCTCAACCCCATTAGAATGTAAGCTCTTGCTTGTATTTTTATCCCCAGAGTTTAGTACAGTGCCTGGAACATGGTAAGTGCTTAATAAATTATCTACCTACCTACTTATTTACCTATCTACATATCTATCTGCCTATATGTCTATCATTTATCTACCTATCATCTATCTCTATTTCTCTATCATTCATCTCTCTCTCTCTCTCTCTATATATATATAATATATATATATATATATATATACCCCATCAGTCTGTCTATGTGTCTATCTATGTGTCTGTCTG